CAACTCAATCAGGTATCCTGGAATTTCAGGGCATATAATGTTTCACTGATCTCTACACAACTTTAAACTAGAACTCTGGAGAGGAATGTGTATTTTTTTGTTGTTATTACTAAAAATAATTCTTTCCTGTCATACCCAAATCTGTGAAAAAAAATCTGTGTATGAATTCTACTTTTTAAAAAAATTATGACACGTCGGTTACAAACTGCCTACTCAACAGCCATTCTCCCTCACCCAAAACCCCAATGTTATGGCTATGGCAACATGCCTCATTGAAAAGTCCCTCGAAACTTAAGGCTGTTTTAAGAGCCAGTTCTGATCAATGAAATATAACTAGAAGTCTCCTTGATGAGGTCTCTGGCTACTGTTTTCCTCATAAGGAACAAACTTAGTGGACATGCACCTTGAACTCTTCAACTATGGCCCCTCTCCCTACCTGGAATGCAGATCTGATCCTTGTGGAACCACCAGCCATCTTACAACTATGGCAGCAAGTCACAAGCTCCAGATGGCAGAGGAGGAGGCTAGAAGGGGCCAGGGTAATGCAGGATACTGCCCAGTGACAGCATCTGCCCTCCTCTGCCCTCCACTGGATTTCCTGCTGTTAGAAAAATCATGCCTGGGGGCACCCGGGTGGCACAGTCGGTTAAGCATCCAACTCTGGGTTTGGGCTCAGGTCATGATCTCGGCGTCCTGGGATCGAGCCTGGCATCAGGCCCCACACTGAGCGCAGAGTCTGCTTGGGATTGTCTCTCTCCTCTTCTGCTGTCCCTCCCCCTGCTCTCCCTCTCTCTCTCTCTGAAAAAAATCTTTTAAAAAATCGTGCCTGCTTGATTAAAAAACTGGTATCAAAAGTTTCTGATGCATGTGTCCAAATTCAATACTAATAGATACACAAGGATGCCTGAAAATCAATCCACCCTCAAAGACCAGGAGTTCTAAACTTAAATGGAAATAGGAGAAGGCAGATCAAATGTGAGTTAATCTGACAGGTGTATGAAAGAAAGGCGTGGCAAACTGCACCAGGTAGGCCTCATGTAAGCAAGCACCACTGCCAGTTCCACCCAGCTCCGGCCAACTGGTGCCCTGGAGGGGGTGGGGGTGGTGCCAGCCCAGCATTCCCACTGTGCCAGAACTTCTGATTTTAAAGAGAAGCCCAGAATTGGGATTTTCACGTCAAGTTTCCTAATTTATAAATAACCGCCAAATTTTAAAAGTTTTAACTCTGTATGGATCAAACGAGACATCACTACAGGCAACATTCAACCTGAAGGCTACCGGTTTTCAACCCTAGTAGAGGGGGTTAAAGCAAAATAAAAAGACCATCCAAGTTCTACAGAAATAATAATGATCAGCAACATTTTGGGCGCTATGTGCCAGGCTGTGTGAAGGGCTTTACATCGATTATCTCATTTTTTCTCTTTAGCCACCCTATGGAGTATGTGACATTGCTATCCCTGCCTTACCCATGAGGAAACTGAGGCTGAGTGAGGTGAGGCTGTACTGCTCCTGGAGCGCTTGGGTGGCGCAGTCAGTTAGGCATCCAGCTCTTGGTTTTGGCTCAGGTCATGATCTCAGGGTCATGAGATCGACCAAGTGGGGCTCCATGCTCCGCGGGGAGTCTGCTCGAGATTCCCTCTCTCCCTCTGCCCCCTCCCTGCTCCCGCTCATCGCATGAGCTCTCTCTCTCTCTCAAATAAATAAATAAAATCTTGGGGGGGAAAAAAAAAAAGAGGGGGGGACAAAAGAGGTTAAATAACTTGCTGAGTCCTAGCGTTCATGTGTAGCAGAGCCAGGATTTCAACCCAGGACTTCAGGACCCCCAGGCCTGTGCTCTTATCCACTCTTCATAAAGAATGCCCCCTGTGCCCAGGAAGCACAAACACTGCTTTGGATCACTACTAGTCTACCTACGGGTAAATGAGTCAGAGCTCTCCAAGAGACTTCCAAGTCAGTTTGACAGGAGACCCAGGCTCACGTCCTCCTACGTGGCTGCCCTTCAATAAAAAAGGCAAAGCACTGTCCAGTCCTCGTCTACCTGCAAGTTTCCTGAAGGAACGCACGTGTGTGTAGTGCTGTCAAATGCATCTCTCTCTTAATCCCCACAGCAACCCGGGGGCATTGTTACCACCACTTGACAGACAGTGAAACGGAGGATTAGAGAGATTAGTGGACTTGTTCAAGATCCAGGCAGTTAGCAGAGCTGGGTCTCCAGCCCCGCTTATCTGGTGCCAGGCCCCGGTGTTCTTTCTACTCGAGCACACTGCCTCTGTGCTTCCTCCAGCAGAGCGCCCAACTCCACCACCTCGCCTCCAACCAAACATTCCTACTTAACTCTACAGTCATTCCAGGATGTCTGACGGCCCCCAGGTGCCATGTTTACGTTTTCAGCGATAGCTTCATCCTAGAATCGAGTCAGCCAGGGAACAAAAATAAATACGTCAGGTCACACACTCAGAACTGGAACGTAAATGGGCACACACAAAAGTCTTGGGATCTAATTTTAGAAAGAAACAGCCAAAAAGTTCCACACAGCACAGGGAGCATCTGCCCCCGGGGGAGGCTGCCCACACTGCTTTAAACCTCAGTCAACCCAGGGAGAGAAGGAATCCCTGGAATTCTGACCAGCATGTCACGGCCAGAGGCACCAGTTGGGTGAAGAACAGAATGACTTTTCATCGTGTTCTCCCACAAAAATGCTAAGGCCCAGAGGTAAATGTCCCTGGGGGATCATCCTTCCAGAAAGGATGAAACCCTGAAAAGTCATCACAGTCTGTGCCTTTGAAGTTAGCTGTTCACAGTCCTGACTCTCACCTGGGAGCCAAGGGGAAAGCGATTGGGACCGGGGCGGCGGCGGGGTGGGGTGGTGAACAATGCCTACTGACCCCAGCCTAGAAGCTGATTTGGTGTGGGGGTTACACAGAGCCTCAAGGCCATCAGGTCATTCCAGGATATTCTGGCCCACCACAGGCCCATCACCTAACCACTACAAGTGCCTAGAACCTCCTTCACAATTAAGTAGACATGTGATTGGTCTTTCTGGCTGCCAGTGATCACAGGAGTAAAAGTTCCATTATGGCAGGAAATTTTCTCTCTTTTGTTCACTGAAATATGCCAACCCTCTGCAAAGGTGCCCGACACATAATAAACTTTAATAACTATTTGTTGAAGAAATGAATAAATGATTTGCTATTGGGATGGATCTTCCTAGACCCACAGTCTAAAGTGGCCAGAGGTCAAGAGGAGACTCCATTAACCCAGTCATCTGCTTGCCCATTTTCGCTTAGCCAACATACACTACTACAGTTCAAGGTCCCTCAGACCCAGGGTTGGGTATGAAATGTGTTCTCTCACCATCTTCCTCCATTATACCACCGCCCCCCTTCCCTGGGCTTCCAGTGCACCACTATGTACCCACCCCCCATCCTGCAACACTCTTCCTCAGCCTGTGATGGCCCTCATCACACACGGTGTACCTCACTGGCCCCCCCAACAACCCTGCACTGTCCACCTCATGCCTGTGCTGGGCATTGTGAGTGACAGCCGGCCTTCCAAAGCTCCCATCTTATGAGGGGGCCAGTCATGGAAACAATGAGAATACAACGTAATAAGCACTATAATGCAGGTGCTGTCGCCAAAGTCACAAACTGACCACCCTCAGGCCTATGATGTTTTAATTGTTATAATTAGTTGCTAACCTATGGAAATGTGCTGATTTCTCACAAAACTGTCGACTGTCAGCATCTCGCGGAAAATCAGAGGATCTGGCGATACGGGGCCTATAGTCCCCACAGCATCAGTCAGCTTCAGCTAGGCAGTGGTTTCCTTTTTACAGGGAACATGTGGCCTCTGGTTCCCACAACCCATCTCCCCACCTCTCCCTACAGTCTCCAGGCAATGTGGCCACGGGCCAGCCACCAGTTCCTCTGTACTGGAATGACTGTTACCTTAGAGTAATGATGCTCTGTACCCACATTTCTACAATAAGTGAGAAAGTAAAAGATAAATCGAAAGGGCCATGTGGACTGCTCACAGAAATGCTGGAGAACTTGCTTCCCGGGAAAGTGAAGAATATTCCTACATACGTGATACTGTAAGTGTGCCTGTGTCTTGTCCCTGGCCTGCTTTGCTCATGCACCTGTCTAGCTCGTTAGGCTTCTCAGTGTAGATCCCCTCATCGATTTTAAACCTACTATGGCCAATGAACTAGATAACTGAGGAGCCAGGTTTCCTGCTGTGTGGGAAGTCACTGTCTAGTGGGGCCAGACAGATACATAAAAAGAAATTTAGCATACAGTGTGAGAACATACAGATGTCTCATAATAGGCAGAGAAGAAGGAGCCCTAAGCCGGCCTGGGGAAGTTAGGAAGAGCTCACAGAGGGATTATCCCGAAACTGATTCTTAAAAAGAGCAAAGTTTATTCAACTGGACAGCGGAAGATGCAAAGGGGCTCTGAGTGAACTGCCAAAAATAGTGCCCTGGCATTAAAAGTGTTGCTCATCGGGATTACCCACCCTCCATGGAGCAGCTGGATAAATTCCCACAGTTCCAGGCCACTCAGAAAAGTTTCCAGGAAAGTTAAGGCCAGCACTAATCCCCTTCCTGCCTGAAAACTGTAGCAAGTGCAGGTCACCACCGAGAGCAAACGTCCAGTTGTGTAATCCAACCTTACGTCACCAGCAGGGCTCACTGGCATTGATTTGGCAGAAATAAAAACCTGGATTTCCACTGGATTTTGAAACTTCCCAGTCCCCTGCTTCAGCGAACTTAAGAATGTTCTTCACTGAGAATATAAAGCAATGCACAGAAACTACTCTGGCATCAAAGAAAAAACGTTCTGCTTTCACTTCTTGCTAATAGGGCAAATGCCAAGGAAGGGAATTTCCAAATCAAGATAGGACAAAGGGCTGACATTGGAGAGAAGAAATATGAAATACCAAATCCTTGCTCATTAAGTAATTACTAACTCTTAGAAAGCATTTTTTTTTTTAACACCCACCTCTCCAGTCAGAATTGAAGAGGAGTTCTTGCTACTGAGATGATTCTCGACTTGAGCTGACTCCTGTTGAGCTCGGCGACCCATCTTGGGTCCCTGTAAGGAGAGATGAGGAACGCTGCTGACCCAAACATCTTTGAGCCACTATGAGGACGAGAATTCGGGAAGGTAAGCAAGGGCAGGATCTATGATGACATGGTGGAGGATGGGATTTGAGCAACTTGAACATATTTTTTAAAAAATGCTTCCACACCCTTAAAACAAAGCACCTGAGGCCATTTCTATTTGAGAAGAAAACATGAAATTCCTGGATTAATGATCACAGGTTTCTCTTTTAACTGCCATAGAGCCTTCCTACCCAAAGAAATGCACACAGACATTCCTCTAGAATGAAGAGAGAGACCTCATGCCAAAGCTCAGGGAAGAAGGTGGTAAAGGCTCTCATGTTCTTATGCAGGATTCTAGAAAGGCCTCATTTCAAAGCTGCAGCGTGGCATGAAATTGTTATCAAAAAGAATTTGGGGAAAGAACTCCTAAATTCCATGGCAACTAGCACCAGAGATGTAAATACAGGTAGCATTTGCTTTGACGTCGGTGGAGCATGCGACTCTTGATCTCGGGCCCCACATTGGGTATGATATGGATTTGCGCTTCTAGACAGTAAAGGAAATCTCTTACAAGAATTCTGAGACATCAGCTTCGGAAATCAGAACACTTTAAATTCTGAGTCATCAAATGAACCATCTGGAGGTGTTTCCCAAAGCCCTCCTGGGGTGGAGGCTCTGTGTCTCAAATGCTTCCCAGCACAGAAATAAAACTTTATTTAGGCAGACCAGTGGATGTCGAAATATTTATATTATCATTTGTTGGCTTTTCTAAAACCAGCATTAATATAAACATTTTTAGATCTCATCTGATGTGGCTTCACTGGATTCTCACAGTAACAGGGACGAGGACCGATGCCCTTTCACAAGCATGGAAAGTGAGGCCCAGGAAGGCAAGTAAGTGGCAGACATCAATCGAAAAGCAAAACCTTTTTCCGTCTTCGGATCCTCAGTTCTTTCCACTATCCCATGCTGGAGTTTCAGTTTTCAGGTGTTCTAAAAACTGCCTGCACCAAACAACTGAGAGGGGTTACACGGGGGTTGCATAAAAACCCCTACGACCTGTTTACATTTCACATTCTAATCAGTAATTTAGGTTTCAGGGATGATGGAAACAATCTTTCTGATCAGCAGCTCGTTTTCTTTCCAAGGCAGATAATTCCGCCCCTCTGCCTATCACTGCCCTTTCCCACTTGTCCTAGCATTTGGTATCTGAACATAGCGTACTACTCGTAGGGGTTGTGCTAAAACAAAAAGTCAATGATCTTGTCTCTAAATGCGGTTTCCGGGTGGTTTCTCTAATAACTGTTAAGTATGTTAAGGCTTTAGGCCTTTTGAAGACCTTGTATAAATCCACGGAAATGACTGGTAGAAAAACTACTTTACTATACTTAAATGTACGTATATTTTAAGTGGAGAGTCTTACTGTCCATCTTCCCCCCCCCCCCGGGTTGTAAGCCCCCTGACGACAAGGACTTTGCTTGTTGCTTTTGTTTTTTAAGATTTTATTTTTTAAAGTAATCTCTACACCCAGTGTGGGGCCTGAGATCAAGAGTTGCATGCTCCGCCGACTGAGCCAGCCAGGCGCCCCTGTGTTGTTGATGTTGTTGTTGTTGTTTCACTGCTGTATGTCCAGCACCTAACCCAATGCCTGACACACAGTTGGGGCTCAATAAGTATTCGTTTAAAGAATGAATGCATAACTACATTTACATTCCCAGGGACCAAACAAGTTCACATATCAGAAAGACCCGGTGACCTAATCTTCTCTTTGGCCAGTCAAACAACCTGCGTCGTAGAACAACTGTTCTTGTTCCCTGAGAGGTGCTCCTCTCTGGTACCTTGGAGGACATCTGATGCTATTAGGGCCCTTCAAAACAGAGATTCCATAGCAGAAACCAAAGGCCTGCTGTGTTGCCCCAATCTTCCAGGGACCATGATCTTGACTAATTTTAAAGGTAAAAAGTCTTGATGGGACTGCCATGGAGTTAAAAAACAACACTGAACTTGGGTCTTGATTCTAGATCAGTGATTTACTGACTATATACATAACTGGGTAAACGAGCCTCAGAAGCCACAGCAGCTGACTTCTTCTAATAACTTATCGTGTGACAGGCTCTGTATTAAATGCTTCCCATGCGTTACTACATTTCATCTTCATGGCAGCACTTTGAAGTAGATATCAACATCTCCATTCCAGAGATAAAGGAAACCGAAGTTGGGGAAGGTTTGTTTGTTTTAATTTTTTAGATTTGACTATAGTTGACACACAATGCTAACTTTTTTTTAACCCAGTAAGCAGCTTCATACTCTATTTGACCTCCGGGCCCCCAGCACCTAGCCACTCCTCCACGCTCGAAATCCTAAATCATAAAACTGAGGTGACGCCCACCTCCTTGTGGGAACTCCGGGCAAGAGAAGGCCCTTCCCGTCTGCCTGAAGTCTTTACACGAACTTCTGGCATGAGAAGTCTCAAGGAAAAAGCCCTGGGATGGGTGCAAGTGCGACCCTGGCCCAGGGCGCCTCCGGTCACTCTCAGATATGCCCGCTCTAGGGGAGTTAGCACTCGTGGCTCCAGAAAGCGCAGCCTGGCTGGGAAATTTCCCATCGGTCCCAGAAGCTGGCAGAGGCAGGATCTGTTTTTCTGCTTTCAGAGAATTTTAAAGAAAGCAAACCCCAGGCCAGTAGCGGCGGAGCCCACCGCAACCCCGGGGGCGGGGCGGCTGAGGCCGCCTCTTCCCCGGCCTCGCCCCCGCGCGGCTCCGCGCCCGCCCGCTCCGGCCACTTGGGCCAGGCCAGGCGGAGGCGCCGCCGGGAAGCCGGGCCGGCTAGGTCGCCCCTCTGCACCCGCCCAATCCTAGCCCCAAGCCCCCAAGTCGGTCCTCACGGAGGTGGCCGAGCCGCGGCGCCGCTCCTCGCCTAGGTCCAGCACGTCCTCCATCTCCGCGGCCGCCTGATGTCATTTCCTGGAAACCAAGCGGCCCAGTCGCGTCCCTGACGACGGCTCCGCCCTTTCATCTCAATATTTAAAGGATCCGCCGCATTATTCCTGGATTCTTTGTGCCGCCTTTGAATTTAAACCAAAACTTTCCTAAACTGCCTTGCCTGACTTCTGGAAGAAACCCCCAGCTATTAAATCCCGCTAAGGCCGCTCCTATGGGACAGTGAAAAGAATTGTAGTCTTTAGGAACTGTCTAGATGTGTAGCTCTGTTTAAATATATGTTATTAAGTACATAGTACATAGTACTAATAGTAGTGATTAAATTGATCACTGCTACCTTGGAGGACATCTGATGCTATTAGGGCCCTTCAAAACAGAGATTCCATAGCAGAAACTAAAGACCTGCTGTGTTGCCTTGATCCCTCTTATTTATATAGCCCTTTACAATGAATAAAGGACTCTCTCAGTTATTATCTCACAGGAAGGATATAATAACCTTATGTGAAAAACAAGGTGAGTCTATTATCTCCATCTGACAGATAAGAAAACAGGCTCACGGGAGGGGAGAGTGGTCAGGTGCAAATAAATAGTTTCTAATGGAACATGCAATATACATAATCTCTGCCTTCAAGAAGTTTACAGAGAAGCCAAACCAGGACGTCAAATACATAAGTAGTGACAACATTCAAAAGTCAAGTAATCCCTCCAACAACCCCACAAAGTGAGCATCAGAGATATCTCTATCCAAAAATTGAGGACCCTAAGGTGCAAAGAGGTGGCTTGAGGGAAATCATCTGAGTGCCAAGCAGCAGAGCCTGATGCCTTTTTGGATACCAAATCTTATAAGAGTATTTTTCTCCTCCACTGAGATTTGGCACCCAGTATTCCTGGGTGCCAGCCATACTCCTAGGCCAGCAGAGGAAGATGTCCCTCAAATTCCCAGCCTACTGGGACGAGCTGAGTCTGCATTGACTCTCCATGTAAGATCCCCAAGTCAACACCACTGGCCAGGTCCCTGGTACTGGTCAGCTAGGCCCCCCAAAAGACGGCCTCATGGTCCTGAATGTGAACAGTATCCCCAATATCAGGCTAGGGGTAAGGCCTAGATGACCACTGCTAAAAAGCAAAGACTTGAAAGTGGGAGTCGCACCCCCTAAAACTGGATTGCAAGGATTTCTTAAATACCCAATAAATTACTCAGTTCAACCAGTCATCCACACATGTTTACTGGGTAGGGCTGTGTGTTAGCGTGTCTTGTGACAGCAACAGCACTGCTTGGATGTCAGAAGAGTTGAGGTCTCATCCTAGCTCTGCTGATAACTACCTGTGTGGCCAGGCAGAGCCCCCTCTGGACCTCAGTCTCCTCCCTTGTAATTGCTCTTAGAGAATACCCCTAAGATCTGATTCTCACTGAGCATATCCAGTTAGATTTTAATCTGAAGAAGCATTCATTGCCAGAATCCAAGACAGATGAAATATAGGCTCCCGTGAATCCTTTGTTTTCTTCTTCCTTGGCACCAGATGAGGAAGAAGGGATTCATCTTTGGATTTTTCCATTTGGTGTGAGCCCATAGCCACACTACCACCACCTTACGGCCAGTTTTCAAACCTTAACTCCCCCTTCTTCCCTGACTTCCTGAAAGCAAAAGGTACATGGTGCTCAGTCTGAGCAGAAAGAAGCCCTAGGACAGTGCTTCCGGACCTTGCTGAGCACCTGACTCACCTGTGGGGTTTGTTAAAAATACGCGTGCCAGGGCCCCATCCCTGGAGACTGATTTGGTAGAGGTGGAGTCCAGAAGGAGAATAATTTTCCTCCCATCTTACAAGCGTTTGCCTAAAGACCTCAGTAAGGTCTTCTCTGTCACCCTCTTTTAAGTTTCAACAGTCCCAACCTAGGCACTCCCTAATCTACCTCCCTGCTTTATTTTCCACCACGGTGCTTATCTTTTATCATCATACCTAATTCTTCCGTTTATTGCCATTTCCACACCCCTCCTCCCCCCACCCCCAATGTAAGCTCCCTTAAGGGCAAGGGTTTTGTTAGTTTGTTTTGTTCAGGGCTGCATCCACAGAGCCCAGAACAGAGCCTGGCATACAGTGAACGTCAAAATATTTTTCAAATCATGGCTGAATTTCAGAGGCAGCATTGCATAGGAAAACGCATAGACTCTGGCAATAGATTTCCTGGGTCCATATCTCAGTGTTGACACCTACTGGCTATATATTCCAGGTAAGTTACTTTTAAGCTTTCTACACCTAGATTTCCTGTTATTCAAATGACAACAATGCCTACCCAAACTAGAGAGCCTGAGTTAACTATCGCCTCCACCACCCATGAGAGGGTGGTCTTTAAAAAAAAAAAAAAAAATCGCTCTGTGCCTCAGTTTCCTCAACTGTAAACTGATCATCCACTGTTCTGGGGATTCAGTGAACATCCCAGCGGCCTAGGAGCCAGAGGCAGGAAGCAGACCTCACAGGAAGGGTCCAGGAAGGCTGGGTGAGGTGCGGTGTAGTGGCGGGGAGCAGCACAGATTCGCAGGAAAGTGATCGAGTTAGAGGCACGTCCCGTGTTGCCGGGAAGCAACGTGCCTTGCCCTCTCTGAGCTTCTCGTGGGAAAGGACGTAGAAGCTTAGGCGGAGAAGAGGAACGAGAGCGAGCCGAGAGAAAACTTCCCCTCACCCATCTGGGAAATGGGCTGGGGCCAACTGCTGCCTTTGCGCTCACTGGCGCAGCTCCCTGCGGAACCCTCGGCGGGGAGGGAGGCTGCGAACATCTGGAGGACATTTCTGCGAGAGCGGCTGCCGAGCGGGGCCCCGGGAAGAGAGAGGTGCACTTGTGCGCACGTCGGACCGAGAGGGAGCCCGTCCCCCCAGGCTCCGGGGTCGCTTCCCTCGCCCTCTCCCGCGGCCCCTCTCCTCCAGCCCCCAGCCCCACCCCCAGCCCTCCCCGGCGTCCCGGCCCCGGCCGGCCGCGCTCCTTCACTGGCGCCCTCGCCTCGCCAGGGGGCACCCTCGATCTGCCGGAAAACGCCACCATTTTCAATGGCCCTGGAGCATCTCCAAGCTTCAGCCGGCCGCCCGACTCCAGGCTTGTCAGTGAAGAATCGCGGCCAGGATCGCCGCGGAGCCGTGCCCACCTCCGACCCCGCTCCCCGGCCGGGCGTTGCCCCCCCCAACCCCGAGGGTGGGCACGCCTGCCCCTGCGCCTGCCCCGCGCGCGCCCCTGCCCCCTGCCCCGCGCCTCTGCCCCGCGGGCCGTCGGGCCCGGGGGCGGCCCGGGCAGGGGGTGGGGGGTGTGGGGGTGGTGGTGGTGAGGGGACCGTGGCAGGAGCGAGAGACGGGCCGAGGAGAGAGGACGGGCTGACAAGCTGGCGAGAGGGCGAAGGAGCTGGGGGAGAAGGAGGGAAGGGATTCGTCGGAGTAACTTTCCAGAAAAACAGTCAACGTGTAGCAGGAGTGACTCCAAGAGGGGAAAAAAAGTTCAGTTACCACGTCGAACCAGAGGACTCGCAAAGTATTTTTCAAATGGGCTCGGCTTTTCCTGTGCCTGTTTAAAACATTAAAATCGTGCAGCAAAAGAGGCTGCGTGCGCTGGTCCCTCCCTCCCCCACCCGGGCCCGAGACGTCATGGGAGGGAGGTATAAAATTTCAGCAGAGAGAAATAGAGAAAGCAGTGTGTGTGCATGTGTGTGTGAGAGAGGGAGAGGAGCGAGAGGGAGAGGAGAGGGAGAGAGAGAGAGGGAGAAGGAGAGGGAGAAGCAGCAGGGAGAGGAAGGGAGGGAAGCAGAAAGCCAAGGCCAAGGGAATGAGCAAGAGAGGGGAGAGATAGGGGAAGAAGCCTGAGAAAGAAGGAATAACAGCTTTCCGGAGCAGGCGTGCAGGGACCTGGCTGCTATTTTCTTTTTCTTCTCCTTTTTATTTTTGTAAAGAGAAGCAGGGAACAGAAGCAATGGCCGAGGGAGAAGACAAGCCGAGGTGCTGGTGACCTTGGGCGTCCAAGTGGATTATTGGGGCTGCTCTCCAGGGGCCTGTCCTCCCTGCCTTCCAATTGCACATACCCCCACTTCCCAGCCAATGAAGACGAGAGGCAGCGTGAACAAAGTCATTTAGAAAACCCCCGAGGAAGTGTAAACAAAAGAGAAAGCATGAATGGTGTGCCCGAGAGACAAGCGTGCCCTGCGCTGCCCCCACCTTTAGCGGGGCCAGCCCAGCCCAGCCCTGCCTCTCCCCACCTACTCACTGGCTATCTGACTTTTTTTTAAACATTTTTCCCCCTTTTCTTTTCCATTCTCTTTTCTTATCCTCCTTCAGGGCAAGGCGAGGATTTTGATTTTGGGACCCAGCCATGGTCCTCCTGCTCCTTCTTTAAAATACCCACTTTCTCCCCATCGCCAAGCGGCATTTGGCAATATCAGATATCCGCTCTATTTATTTTTACCTAAGGAAAAACTCCAGCTCCCTTCCCACTCCCAGCTGCCTTGCCACCCCTCCCAGCCCTCTGCTTGCCCTCCACCTGGCCTGCTGGGAGTCAGAGCCCCGCAGAACCTGTTTAGACACATGGAGAAGAGACCCAGAGCTCCAAGGCACACAGTCGGCGTCTTCGCGCTCAGGGTTGCCAGTGCTTCCTGGAAGTCCTGAAGCTCTCGCAGTGCAGTGAGTTCATGCACCTTCTTGCCAAGCCTCAGTCTTCGGGATCTAGGGAGGCCGCCTGGTTTTCCTCCCTCCTTCTGCACGACTGCTGGGGTCTCCTCCTCGCCGGGCCTCGCAGCAGCGCCCCCCCCCCCCAGCCGCTCTCCCCAGCTTGCGCATGAAGATGCACTTGCAAAGGGCTCTGGTGGTCCTGGCCCTGCTGAACTTTGCCACGGTCAGCCTCTCTCTGTCCACTTGCACCACCTTGGACTTTGGCCACATCAAGAAGAAGAGGGTGGAAGCCATTAGGGGACAGATCTTGAGCAAACTCCGGCTCACCAGTCCCCCCGAGCCATCGGTGATGACCCACGTCCCCTACCAGGTCCTGGCCCTTTACAACAGCACCCGGGAGCTGCTGGAGGAGATGCAGGGGGAGAGGGAGGACAGCTGCACTCAGGAAAACACCGAGTCGGAGTATTATGCCAAAGAAATCCATAAATTCGACATGATCCAGGGGCTGGCGGAGCACAGTAAGTCCAAATTCTCGCTGGGGTGTCTGCTCCAGAGGGTCTGAACTGCAGGAGGGTGTCCCACAGAGAGGGGCCGAGCGGTGGCCTCTGAGCCGGGGGAGGGGGGTGCCCTGGGTTCACCCACACCCAGGCTCAGGAGGTGCGAGGCACAGCTGGGGCCTGGGTGGGTGGGTGGGGAGGGAGACAGAGCTGGGGGTTGGGGGGTTGGCTTCTGGGAGGCCGGGAGCCCTGGGGTCGAGTGGCTTGCTGAACTCGCATCACAACCTGGACTGGTTTTACTTTGGAATTACCTTGTGCTGTCCGGTTAACCTCTGTGTGCTGGCACGTGTGACGGGCTAGGTAACTGTGAGTGGACGGGTGCCACGGAGGGCCAGGGCCAGCTCTCTTGAAAGCCCTTCTGGGTCCACGAGTCTGGAGACCTGGGTCTTCTCCCCTGTTTCGCAACTCGCTGTGACACGTCTGTGGTTTAGTTTTTCCAGTTCTTGGGAAAAAGAGGATACCTACCCCAGATTCATGTCTGTCAAGCTTTTCCAAGCCCAGGCAAGGGGCAGCCTCTTGCTGTTCAGGCCCGTCGGTCAGTGCCACACACGTGACCCACGTGAGCCGTGAGCACGGTTGCACCTCTGTTCACACGTACATGTGCTTTCGGGCTTTGTACAGTAGACAGAGTCATGGGCTCAAAATGGGCGGCTTCCAGGCCTGTGGACACGGGGAGAGCAGGGTTGTGGCTCTGGACGTGTCGATGATTGCTGGCCGCCCTTCTGTGTCTGCGTGTCACGGGAAGAGTGGGTGGGAGGTGTGGCTGTGGGTGCAGAGAGGACATGTGTCTGGGAGTGTGTCCTCCCAGGAGGCTCCCGTCTGTGCTGAGAATCTGGGAGGCTTCTGGGTGAGATGTCTCTGTGTGTGTTTGTACACGTGTGGGAGTCATGTGTGTTTACTGAACGGACATTTAAAAAACCTCAATACGAGAGAAAGAGAGAGAGAGATTTGGCAGATGTTGAGAAACTGACAGCCCGAGAAGGAGGAATGTGAGCCACTCTGGGCCAGGGACTCTGGGAGCAGCTCTGTTTGCTTTTCCTACCAGCAGGTGTCCTCGCCACCCCAACTACCTCTTCTTCTCAGGCTCACCTGGCCAGTGGGGAGTAGGGGCGGGAGGGTGGAAGGGAGCAGGCAGAGTGAGGGGGGTCAGGGGTTGAAAGGAACCCGGCTGAAGAGAAGGAAGAGGTGGTGGGTGGATGGAGCAGCTCTAGCTGAAGGTGGAAAAGGCCCTACTGGGAGCGGGCCCAGGCCAGCTCCAGGAGCCCGTGGTTCCTGGCGAGGGGTTCCCACTCCGTTTCCTGTGGCTGCCTGGAGCGCCTTGCCTTAGGATGTGGCTACCGTGTAGGGCGGAAGCCGGAGTAGGAGGCAGAGCCGGTACAGTACAGTCACAAGGCGCCCTCCCTGGCATCCTCCAGGTGGGGCTGGCTCAGGGTCTGTTGGGGGCCTACAGGTCCCAGAGGCACCAGCACCAGGATGGCTGAAACCCCCCCAACCCCTGGGCAACCACCAAGTCAGGACGCAGTGGCCACGAATATGGACAGCTGAGGCCTACAGGAGAGGTCTGGAGAGAGTCCAGGATGAGGAGGGAGAAGGGCTCGGACCTCAATGATCCGGGTCAGGAGGTGGAGTCCCAGGGAGGAGGGATTCTGAGTCACTAGGGGCCCGTCCAGTCTGGAATCCCGAGCAGAGAATGAATGGGCCAGATGCAGGCAAGGGCATACAGGTGCCAGTGGACATCGATTTTGTACAAAGACTCAGGGCGCATATAGTGGGCAGCCCTGGGGAAAGCCAGGGCAAGGGCACACGGATGCTTGGCAGCTTAGCTGGTGGCACCAGTGCCTTGCAACTGGGGCGGATGGGGGTGGCCCTGGGGCCGCAGAGCCTGGTCAGGCTGGGGGCAAATCTGGCCCAGGAAGCAAGATGCTGTATGAGATCTTGGGGAGGAGCCAGGGCCCCGTGGGACACGGGTGATGCTGTGGAGGCTTGCAGGTGCAAACAGGAAGCAGGCCCAGACTCTCTGCAGCTGTTGGAGGTGACACAGAGGCGGAGCAGACATGGCTTGGGCCCGCCCTGCAGCTGGTCAGGTGCCGAGCCAGCCCCAGAGAGGCAGATGCAGAAGACACACTAATTAAAAGGAGGCAGTGGGCAGATGCTGAGCAGGAGCAGAAAGGCATCCTCAGAGGCTTAGCGTAAGGGAAGCCTGTCCTGAGCTCATGAGGGATGGCCAGCAGGGGCACTGGGTCTGTGGCAGGACGCTGGCAGGGTCTGGGGGCCAGAGCTTCTGGGGAAGTGATGAGATCGCGTTCCCTTCCACATTTCGTCACTGCCAGTCTGCTTCTGTACCCAGTGGGCAGGCACTCAGCGGGGAGTGACAGCAGGAGGTGGCTCAGGGAGATAGGGGAGCCTGGAGAGCAAAATGTGGCAAGGAGTAATTTCCAGGGGGGCAGGGGAAAGGGCAAAGGGGAGAGGGCCCATCCTCTGGCTCCGTCCTCTTAGATAGGAGCCCCGATTCTCTACCTTACAGATGAGGAACCGGAAACACGTATCAGTGAAGTAATTTGCCTCAAAGAGCAGGGACTCTAACCTAGACATTCTGCCAGCAGAATGCATGTTGTTAGGCACTAATGCCGGTGTGTAAAATAAACATTTCAGGCCCCACCTTTAACCTTAAGGCTTCAATAGGACTTTGACTTACAATATGAATAAATCACATATTGGACCAAAGCAGGGGGTGGGGGGTGGGTAGGAGCTATTGGTAACCCTGGGGGCAGATCGCACAGGGCCAACTGGGTGTGTTCTTTCTGAGCTCTGCCTGTTGTTTTGGCCAGGAGACTCATACCACCGCAGATGTTCTCCCAAATTCAACAGAAGGGTTTTCTTTATCTAATGAAGAGCCTTAAGCTGGTTAAGCAGCCACACCAGGTGGCATTGGACCGGTCACCTCTCCGAGCCCAGTTTTCTCATCTGTGAAGTCAGAGATAATCTCCACATGCTCTTGCAGCTGAAACAATTTTGTGTATATATCTGGGATGATTCAACAGTCTCCGCACGGAAGGCAAGCCTCTGTAAATCCTTTTATAATTCACCGGGAGCTGGCTGTGTAGAGACTCCCTCTGACACCCGTGGCGGGGAAAGACACAGCCTTCTCCATTCCTTTGTCATCCTTGTTATCAAGATAACAGTGTGGGTGTCATTTTAACTTCTGGCCTGTAATTATCCATGGCTGGCGGGAGACTCTTGTTTTCATCCGAGGCTGGTGCGAAGACAGCCAGCAAACCCAGAGATCCTGAGCAAAGAGAAAACTTGATATGTTGGCCTTTCTTTCCTGGAGGCTACATTTAGATTGTGTTCATTCTGAAAATCAGAAGACCTTTCGTATCCCAAGAACTCATTCGTTCTCAGTGCCAATGCCCTCTGCACACTAGGTCAGTGTTTCTCCAAGAACAGTCCAGGGGCTATGTGAGTGGGAAACATGTGGCTTCCCAGGCCCAACCTCACCCTTACAGAATCAGAATCTGCGGGTGGGGTCCGCTTCTTAAGCCCACTGAAGCTTACGACTCACTCAGTGTACTGGGGCAAAACCTTTCCTTAAGGGGCTGCAAACACAAGTGCCCACAGAGGCTGGACAGTTAATGCAAAGGATCCGGAAGAAAAGCCTCAGCGCCAGCACCATGACAAAGCGCACGGGGCACTTCGCCTTGGGGTTGAGGAGAGAATGGGGTGTGTAGGAGGCCAATGGGGGGGTGGGGGGAGCCGGAAGCGCCCACACCCTGGTCAAAGAAGGCACCCACTGCTCAGTTCCTGCTGATTTCCAAATTTGGGAATGTGGGTCCTGCTTCACTAGACCTTGCCGTTTCCCAGAAGCGCAGAAAACCTGGCTCTTTTTGTGAAATTTCCCACCTTTAACCTGGGCTTAAAATATTGATGGGCTTCTAATTCAAAATTTTTTTAAATGATGCATTGGCCAAACTGCATGTCTAATACATTTTAAAGGTCAGCCTATTTAAAGATTAAATCACTGAGGTGTCGTTTCTCAAACTTCCAGAACATCTGGAAGCCATGGTACCCTTTGCAGAGCACTATAAACTGTGGTTCTCAACCCTGGCTACGCATTAGAATCATCTGGAGATCTTTAAAGAGAAGAAAGAAAGCGGGGGGGGGGGGGGGGGGGGGGATGGGGGGGGGAAGCTCTGGACCCACCCACTCCAAGGTAATCATCTGTTTTTAAGGCTCTCCAGGTGATTCTAATGTGCAGCTGGGGTGAAGAAGCAGCTCCTCACTGGTGTGTGCATGCTGCCATTGGGAGCAGCAGGATTTTACAGGCAGAAAGGATGCATGTAAGCAAAGGCACATCTAGGAGCCCTGGTGGCTGAAAACATTTTAAGAGGCATGGTCGAAACATAGTCAGCCGTTTCCACAGTTTTTCGTGAAGACTCTACATGAATATTCTTAGCTTATATTTCTCTCCCTATAGCAAAAAAGAGAAAATGGCCTCCACAGATATATATATATTTTTGCATAGTGGAAAAAGTTGGCCCTAATGTAATTTTCAAGGTGGACCCTCTAGTCCAGCTCTCAGTAATACTAGCTTCCTGAAGCGGCATGGCCTACCCCCAGAACTGAGCAGGAACGGGCTGTTGCTTGGGCCTGTGTTGGAACTGCAGGCCCACTCCATGGAAGCTTTCATTTTGTCAGTGAACCTGTGCCTCCACTATTTGATCTCTTAGTGCCCCCCAACTTCCAGAGGCTCCACTTTAAGAAGAGAGGGGTGATCAGAAGACCTGGGTTCAAATACCACCTCTGCCACCCACTAGTTGCATGACCTTGGGGAAGTCCATCACTCTTCTCCTTTGTCAAATGGTCAGTTTGACTTATTCTCATCCCCCTCAAGGATTGTTAGAGGGTCAGACGAGTTAGGAAAAGCTCCGTGAAATGTAAGGTGCTGTTATTACAGTTTGTTTATTTACACTCTCATTCCACCGATTATTTAAAACATCATCATCATTCCACGGATTTCATTACCAAGAAGATTATATTTACATTTTCTTTTCTCTTCTAGGCAGTTCTGTTGTAATCACTAATGATTATACGTTTGAGCTTTATTTGCTACTGTCAGTTTGCTTGCATCAACTATGTGTGGCCCCGGTCAAGACCCCTCTGGACATCGGCTTCTTCATCTGAAGAGGCTTGCACTAGATGACCCCTAATGTCCCTTCTAACTCTGCTAGGAATTTGTAGGTCCCAGTGATTAAAAAAAAAGAAGAAGAAGAAGAAGAAAGAAAGAAAAAGAAAAAGAAATAACGCTTCCCAGGGAGCCTGGGTGGCTCAGTCGGTTGAGCATCCAACCCTTGGTTTTGGCTTAGGTCGTGATCTCAGGGTCCCTGAGATCGAGCCCCGCATCAGACTCCACGCTCAGCACAGAGTCTGCTTGGGATTCTCGCCCCCCACCCCCCCCATCTGCCCCTCCCCCTGCTTGTGCGTTCTCTCTCAAATAAATAAATAAATAAAATGTTTCTGTTTTTTTTTTTTTTTTTTTTTTAAAGAAGATCCTTCGCACCTCCTTCTTGAAATCTCCTTGAAGTTCCCACCAAGAGGAGTCTGTCTGAGGGAACAGCTATCTGACTGATGGGCTGGGAGCAACAAAAGAGGGATGGTTACAAGAGTGTCCTGAAGACCATCTTAGCTCCTCAGTGTCCCCATGTCCTGGCCTCCCGCGGTCCTGACCCCCCTCTGACTCTGCTTACGGGCACGTGCTGTTTTCCATTCCATTTTCCTTTCCACAGCAACACGGACACACCCCGCTCCCTCTTTCAGCAGTTACTGGAGGGACTGTTCTAACTGAAGCCGCATCGATGACAGCTCCTTCAGGGACCAAGCGTGTCGGTGCTCGAGAGGGTTGCCAGTCCGCGCGCTTATCCGTGTCCAGAGCCTTCCAGACTGGCAAGCTGAACAATTAAATTGCTATCACTGATGCCTCCTTCTGGTTCTGTCTGACACGGTTTAGGGAATAGTTGGCAGTATTTGTGTTTTGAAGCCAGTTATTAATCAGGGCTTCGTTAGCCGGCATTCACACATTTGTTTTCCTAACATCTGTTCCATTAATTTTCTAAGAACCAGTGTCAGGCCCACCAGATGGCAATTTCCAGAAACACTCACTCATCCTTTCCTAAAGATCAGTAGCGCATTTGCTTATTTCCAGGCCTCCGATCCTTCCCGCCTTGTCCGTGACTTCCTACACCATCCCTCGGGGTGATTATGAGCTCATTCCAGCCGTGTCCATTATGTGTGGAATCTGGGTCTCCGAGCTTGAATTTCAAGTTCTGGCTATTGTTACCATTTGTGTAGAAAGTTTTTCTCTGGGTGTCAATGCTGCTCAGACCTTGAGGTTGTGAAGTGTACAGGAGAAAAAGACAGGAGCTTTCTTTTCTCTTTGGGCACTGAGGTGTGGCAAAGAACATCTGCGGCCGTGGGTCCTGTGGACAGGGGTGAAGAGGCCAGCAGGGTGACAGGGGCTGGTATAGCATGTGCTGTCAAGGACAGAAACCCTTAGAAAAGAGCCACTAGGGATGGCCAAGCTCTGTCTGAAGAAACGTCTGTGGGTCTACCAAGCTTGAGATGTGGGCTCTTTGCCATAGCGATGCTGCCTCAGTGGGTCTAAAACACAGTGTTAATTATGTCACTGCCCTGCTCTAACCCCTTCCATGGCTCCCCACTGCTGATGGGATAAAATCCAGCCTCTCGGTCTGACATTTCAGCCTCCCCGTGGGGAGGCCCCAGTCGGCTGTCCTGACCTCGTCTTGCGGGGCCCTCACCTGGTTGCTTCAGGTCGTCTTGTACACATGCACCTCCTCCCCTCAAAGGGGGAAACACTGCTGTGTTTCCTGCAGTCCTTCCATGGAAAATCCCTCCCTCTCCATCCTCAAACCCTTTCCTCCCGCAGGACCCAGATCAAATGGTACCTCTTTGCATCACGTGCGCCCTGCTGTCTCCCTACTCTGATCGGATTGCAGCAGCTCCTGGGCTTCTCCAAAGGCCCTCAGCACTTTCCCTCTGGTTCCATTATGTGGGTCTTTGTATTGATATCCTCCCCCGGACCTGAATCTCCTTGAAGGCAGGGGCGCGGCTCTTCATTTTTGCTTCCCATTGTCAGCACTGTGCTTGGCACACCCGTCTGGGCTCAATACACATGTAATAAATGAACGAATGCCTGAAGGAACGAGCGCATGAATGGGTCAAACAGCTGTGAGACGATTAAACTACTAGGGGGACTTGCCGCGATCTTTTGAGCCTTATGTTTTCTAAAAGAGCAGGAAAGCAGGCTGGAGAGCCTGCCGGGCTGGGATGTTGAGGCCATAGGAGGAGGGGTGATTGTCTTTGACTGGCCAGTCATTGGCGCCATGTCCTGGAGCTCCCGGGTCTCCCTGCTCCTGGCTCAGGCCTGTGTGTGATTCCAGGGCCACCAAGATCTACCTCTGTCCCTACCTTTAGGCCTGAGGCCTTGTCGAGCCTCTAGGGAGGTCACGGATGGGACCTTGGCCTCCTGGCGAGTGTCCGTGGGCAGCACACTGGCTCCTATGGGTCTCACTCACACTGCCCCTCTCCCCGCTTGCTTGATCTCCTAGATGAGCTGGCCGTCTGCCCCAAAGGAATCACCTCCAAGGTTTTCCGCTTCAACGTGTCCTCAGTGGAGAAAAATGGAACCAACCTGTTCCGAGCAGAATTCCGAGTCTTGCGGGTGCCCAACCCCAGCTCCAAGCGCAGCGAGCAGAGGATCGAGCTCTTCCAGGTGAGCGCCTCCCGGAACAGAAGCCACACAAATGGGAGAGCCAGCTCCTCTACCATTTCGGGCCTCCCCTCCCCGCAGAGATCAGCAGACCTGGTTGTGAATCCCACCTTCTGGGACTCTCTCCATCTGTGTCTGTCCTGGAGAGGGTGAAGCGTTAACTGAGGGGCTTGCAGGAGCCTTCAGGAATTTTTAGTTTCCCGTTGCTCTCCTCACCCGGCCTCCTGCACTGTGACCGGGGCCGCGGTGCTTGTTCTGGCCCGGGGTACTTAATCCTCTCTCTGCCCTCTAGATACTCCGGCCCGATGAGCACATTGCCAAACAGCGCTATATCGGCGGCAAGAATCTGCCCACACGGGGCACCGCCGAGTGGCTGTCCTTTGATGTCACTGACACTGTGCGTGAGTGGCTCTTGAGAAGAGGTAGGTTGACTCTTAGTCTGAGCGTTTTGGAAGGCACCTCAAGGTCCCTTGGTGGTTCACGATATAGAAGGAACAGGACAAAACTAGAGGAGTCACAGATCTGGGTTCAAACCCTAGCTTTGCCACTGGCTCACTGTGTCCTCCATTCATTCACTCAACCCACATTTATGGAAATGCTCCCTCAGCCAGGCCGGGCTTGGGGGGGTGCGGATACAGCAGTGAACAAGACCGGGGAGGTCCGTTTCCCATGGGGCTATCGTTCCGATGGGAGAGACACACAGTAACCAAGAAAACAGACTGATGAGTGGGAACTTCAGGGATGAGCACAAGACATCGGAAGAGGACCCTGCGGCAGTGACGGGTGGGGTCCGGCACACGGTGCTCAGGGAGGCTCTCTGCCTGCGGGAATGTGTGCACTGAGGTCCGAGGGGTGAGAAGGGCCAGCGTGTGAAGGTGAGAATAAGGATGTGCTGGGCAGAGGAGGTGGGGAGGCGCAGGCCCCCCAGGCGGTAGCAGGTGTGATTTGATCTGACAGCGGCATGCAGGCTGATGGTCTAGAATGGAGTGAGCTGGGTGCCAGAGGTAGCTGGGGCCCCATGACTTAGGACCTGTAAGGCCATGGTCAGGTTTGAGGACCTATTCCATGTGTGATGAGAAACCCTGCAGTATTATAAGCAGGGATGGGATTTGGAGTGAGGTGATTTGGTTTGTATCTCTAAAAGACCCCTCTGGGGGCTCCTGGGTGGCTCAGGTGGTGGAGCATCTGTCTGCCTTCGGCTCAGGTTATGATCCCAGGGTCCTGGGTCAAGCCCCATGTTGGGCTCCCTGCTCAGCAGGGTGTCTGCTTCGCCTTCTCCCTCTGCTCCTCCCCTCTGCCCCCACTCATACTCTCCTGTGTGCTCTCTTTCTCTCTCAAATAAATAAAATCTTAAAAAAAAAAAAAAAAGACCCCTCTGGTTGCCATGAACTCAAAGGAAGGAGCCGGAAAACCAGCTAGGGGCCACCGCAGCCGCCCGGATGAGAGCAGTGGGGGCTTGTGCTTGGGCTGGGGCGGTAGCCGTGGGCGTGGAGATGATAGGGCTTTGTTGTCTGTCTCTGTTCCTGCCCTTCTTTACTCGGGGGTACTGCCCGGACTGATGCTCGGTGGGGAGGGAGTGCCTGTGCTGGGCCCATCTGTTCCTTCTCCCCGTCTTGCCCAGAGTTTTATTCTGTCATCAGCTGCCGTGGGGGCACAGTCCATCCACATGCTGATGTCCAGAGTCCCTGGAGCAGGTGGGTCCTTTCTTGTCCTTGATATTTTGGGAAACTTGTCCTGGTGTTTTGGTGTTAAAGCACTAAGGCCTGGCCTACATAATGTTTTAAATTTAAGTAATGGTCAACAGTTCCTATTTTTCAAGTCAGGAGATTTCACATAAAACCTGGACTTCTGGATTTTCTAGAAAAATTGGACGATTTCCCGGTGACGATCCATGGGAGATGAGTAGGGGCCACCTCCTGAGGTGGGGCCCGCCTTCTTCACATCCCCATAGGCTCTCCAGTCCCTGCTGTTCCCTCAAGAGTGCGGCTGGCAGTCCCCATTGAGCATGATCCGCTGGCTTGCTTTGCTCACTTATGTGACCTGCCCGGGGTCGGGAGGCATCCGAGTCTGCCAACCCTCATCCCGGCCGAGCCGGCTGATCATGGGCTGGAGGTCCTGCCTCAACTCCAGGGTTACCCGGGAATTCTGTCCCATCTCCCCTACTGAGCACAAAGGCAAAAGCCTAGGAGCACCCACGGGACCGGGATGTGCCTTCGGCAGCACAGTTGGGAATTCTGACTCAGACGGCACTCCGCCTAGAGCCTGACATGGCTGCAGAAAGGAAAGGCTGGGGAAATTCATCTCTTAGCTTCTCTGTCTGATCTTGATCAGCTCCACCTGGATTTCTTTGAAGCCCTGGGCACTTGAAGGAGTTCTTATTTTCCCAGCTGCAGAGCTCAATGAGAAGTTTGCGCTGAGAATGATTTCCATCTTCCCTGAGACATCAAAAAGATAATTTCGTAATAAAACCTGTGGGTCCCCCACCCACCATCCCCACTGCTGCCAATTCTGAGGTTAGTTCTTCATTGGAACCTTCAGTTCCTAGTTAGGCAGATGCTTCCCACCCCTTGCACAGGGGAATCCCACACAGACCTTTACTTATGCAGAGCTCGTGAGTCTCCTCAGAGTTCGTGGCCCTGAACTAGGCAGCAGATGGACTCCAAATGGTGCAGTTGGTGGTGTGGACTGATGGGGAAACCGAGTCACATGTCTGGTCTTGTATTCATTCAGCAAACATCTGAGAGCCTCCTGTGCACCAGCATGCCAGCCTGCCTTCTGGGTCCCAGAACTGTCTGGAGCCCTACCCAGAGTTAGGGGACCCAGGTCCTCATACCCTTGTGCTGCTTCTCCTCATGGTCTGCACTTTCTCCCCGTACAGAGCCAGACACCCCCTAGCGGCCCGGGGAGGGAGCGCAGCCAGCATCGCAGCGCAGGAGAGCCGGGACACTGGGAAAACCCAGGCGCCTTCTCTGGTGGTCTCTGTTGCCCCCTCTTTGTCCCTCTTTGTCTCTAACAGTTAGGGGTGTGGCTCAGGCATCAGGTGTTTGAATCTTGGCTCTCCCCACTTACTGGCTGGGTACCTTGGGCAAGCCATTGAATTCTCTAAGCCTCATTGAATGAGTTACAGCACGTAAAGTCTTAGAGCGGCGCTTAACACGTAATGCTCAACAAATGCTGGTGACTGTTGCCGTCACTGAGTCTTCTACCTACACAGAGCCTGTTGGCCAAGCCAGGCCGCCATCTCACACTACCACCTGTCCCCTAACCCTAACTGTCCCCAACACGTGTCTGCACCTTGACTTCCTTTCTATTTTTTTTTTTTTGAGATTTATTTATTTATTTGAGGCAGGGGGAAGGGGGGGAGAGAGAGAGAGAGATCACACACACACACATGAGCATGCACAGGGGAAGGAGCAGAGAGAGAATATTCAAGCAGATTCCTGCCGAGTGTGGAGCCCGTGTGGGGCTCGATCTCACAGCCCATGAGATCAGGATCTGAACCAAAACCAAGAGTCAGACACTCAACCGACTGAGCCACCCAGGTGCCCTTGCACCTTGACTTTCTAACTCACAGAATCACAGAACTTGTCCATACCAGGACAAGTCCCTTGGCCTCGCTTGAGCCCTTCTGGGTAATAGGAAGTACACTCTGCAGCCCTTTTCAGCCACCCCGGTTCATTCTTTCAATGGCCTTCAACCAGGAAGAAGATACTCCCCGGACTCCTTCTCTTTTTACTTCTTGTTCTCTGGCTGGGCATCGGCTTCCTTGTTATCATAGCCCCCTCGCTCCCCACCAAAGCTAACCTTCTGGAACCGAGATCTTCAAGCTCAGCAAGCATCAGTGTGTCCTAGAGGCTGCCCTGGTTTGGAGGAGGACGGATGAGACTGAGTTCTGGAGTTTGTGGAAGAAGGGATCCTGGCCTGCTTAGTGGTGACCAGAACCCCTGGGCTTGAGGCATTCTGTGCGTGAGAAGGGTGCTGAGCTGGCTTGCACTCTGGGGTTTTCCCTGATGACGCCAGACTTCAAGATGACCTCAGGTTGGTCCCAGGGCTGGATGCTCACACAGAACGAGGGTGGCCCGGGGCACAGTAAATCGATCAGCTTGCTGAGATGCTGATCCTGAAGCCAGAAGGGTCCCTTCCTCATGACCTTTCCCACAGCACAGATTGCTGCTGCCTCTGGGTCATCCGAGCTTCCCTAGCTGCGTCTGACCCACCAGAATTGACATGATACCAGACCCTTCCTAGTTTCCCTGCACAAAACTTCTGGATTCAGTTCAAATGTGTCTCTTCTTATTCCTCCTTTTCTCTCTCCACTTTACTCGACCCGTTTTACTAATTTCCTTGCTTCCCCAATTTTAGTAAAACGCAAACACCACCAATAGGAGAAAGGGCCCCAGCTGGCCTTCTTGCACCAGAGAATCTGTCAGCAAACCCTGGCATCTCCACATTTCCTCCTGCTGGTTCTCTCCGAGCTCGTGTCATCCGGGCCCTTGGCCCTTGGCCATCTCCTCCGGCCTGTGCTCTGATTTCACAACGGTCTTCCTGAGTGGCTCGTTTTCCCCCAGTGAGCCATCCACGTCGCCAGCTTCCCCATTAACTGAACAGGGATTCCCAGAGAAGAAACTTCCAAGTAACTTTGACCTCATTCTGTCCTTATCCCTTAAGGAAAATATGGCCAAACGTAACTGTGATTTTCATTTTCTGTCCTCTGGAAACTACCACTCCATTTACACCCATAGTCATGGCCCTGGCGGAAAGGCTGGCATCTTCCCCATAGACGGATTTGGCTGTTTGTCTGCCGGTGACCTTGCCTCTAGCATTGCTTCCTGACTTCTAATCCTATGGCTCAGACTCTGCCATCTTCCTTCCATCTGGTGGAATTCGTGGCCTTTTGAATCACAGCTTCTCTGCTCCCAAGTTCTTCAGTGAGCCCCCTTCCCTGGCCTCTCCCGGTTCCTCCCCTGCTTCCCATTTCATCCTGCCTCAGCAGCTTGGCTCGGGTATCTCCTCTCCCAACAAACACCTAGGTAGTGTGGTGGTTGTTTTCCTTCCTTCTTGTGCCCTCATTCTTTTGTCCTCACGTAGGCAGGTGACAGTTTTTTTCCCAATACCATCCTTTGAAAATAGATGACTATGAATATTCTCCTTTGGGACGCCTGGGTGGTGCAGTTGGTCAGGCGTCCAACTCTTGGTTTCGGCTCAGGTCGTGATCTCAGGGTCCTGAGATCGAGCCCCTCATCGGGCTCCACGCTCAGCAGAGTCTGCTTGAGATTCTCTCTCTCCCTCTTCTTCTGCCCCTCCCCCCGCTTGCACACACGCGCCCACACTTGCTCTCTCTCGAATAAACAAATCTTCTAAAAAAAAGGAAAATTCTCCTTTATAATGCCCCTTAATTTGTGCCTTTATCCGGTTATTCATACGTAACAGAAACACCTGCAATATGGTAACACGTGTGGAGGTCCACTCGAGCTTTGGCACCTTCTGTCTCCTGTGTCCCTCAGCATTACTCAGCTCCTGTGACTGCCTGTGGGAGCAGAGGCCCTGGCCAACCGTGCACGGTGATGGGCACACTTCCCCATCACATAAAGAATGTTCTCACTGATTCCACGTCTTGTTTTGCAGAGTCCAACTTAGGTCTGGAAATCAGCATTCACTGTCCATGTCACACCTTTCAGCCCAATGGAGACATCCTGGAAAACATTCATGAGGTGATGGAAATCAAATTCAAAGGTAACAAAATGGATGGTGTACAGTAGGTGGAGGGCGGTTGACGAGGCAAGACAGAACAGGAGACCCCAACCAGGCCCCAAGAAAAGCAGCCGAACTCCCTCACGGAGACGGCCAACTATTTTATACTGGAGTAATTCTGCTTTGCTCTAAAGGCAAGGCGTGTGACTTTCAGTTGATAGAGTATGTTAGCATCTGGAAGACAGTGTCACCTTGGGAAGAGTGGTGTATCATGGAGGCCAACGGGTCTGCCTCTCTGAGCTCAGTCACTAAAACGGAGATGAGAATACCTCTTTCGTAGGGTTATCACGCAAATTAAATGAGATAACAAATGTAAAACACAGTGCCACAAATGCTCAACAAATAGTCGTCTTCCCCTTCCCTAAAAAAAAAGGAACTGCAGTGACCAGGAATACAGGTGTCCTGACTCCTGAACTTTCCAGATGTTACAGAGGCCACGGGATCCCACCCAGGAGTCATCTGGGTTTGAATGACTGCTTTGGGGCTCAGGGTATTTGTGTTAAGATGGAGAAATAGTTGAGAGTCTTTTCTGGTTTTCCAGTCTGTTTCTAAGACGCTCAATCTCTGGACAGTCTCTGGATTTCAGGGATGTTCTCTTTCCTTGAATAGTCCCATTTTGGATAACTGAGGCACACCCAAAGCCAGGTGGCTCCTCAAGATCAAACCAAGCACGCCAGAGCATGAGGTCAGAGGCTTGTCTGGGAAGAGGTGCCCCCTCTCTTGGCTGCCAGCCCTGGGCAGACCTCTGACCCTTCGTGGGCCTGACTTCAGGCCCCCCCTTTTTTTTAAAGCCAAGCATTTGACGTCCTAATCACAGAACCTCAGAGCTCAGAAGACCTTTGGGGTCCTTAGCTACAGGCCAGGTCAGGAGGAAATCCTCCCACTCTGTAAATAGTTATCTTGTTCATAAAGATTCTCAGAAGAGGGAATTTTAGATCCAGGCCTCCCATTTGTCTGACGGGCCTAGTGCGCCTTCGTGGGGTCCAAGTCCCTTCCGTCACTGTGTAAATTAAGCTCCTCGTGTTCCTGCCCTTGGCGGAGATGGACAACAGCAGGCAATTGCCTGTCACAAAATAGATCTCCTGTAGCTGAGACTCGGTCTGATTCAGTCCTCGGTCTTGTCCTTTGCAGATGAAATCGGAGGGTCTCCCCACCAGCCGCAGGGTTTGTGTGCTAACTCTGTGGACCACATTCCTTGGTATCTTCTCTGAGTGTTACAGTGGAAACACCTTGAAACTACTCTCGCATGTGCCCGTTAATGATTAAGCAAGCAATCTAGCTCCTCCGGCTCCCATTAAAGGCATCTTAAACCGAGACGCCTCACATCACAGGGAGGACTTCGGGGCTTTCTTGACCAATTCAGAGCATACGAGGAAACTCACACCCCAAGATTCTAAGTCTCGGAATCTAAACGGACAGCCCAAAGCAATGTGTTAGCTAGCTGCCTGGGGTGTTTCACGGAAGCTTCTCGGCCCCGAGACCCCAGGAAGCATCTGGGAAGGGCTCTCTGCTCTCTGGACGACTTAGACGCCGGAGTCATGAGGGGATCCGACCCCAGGTGTCTTGTGCGTTCCTCTCCCTGGTCTTCTCCTTCCCCTTCCTGCAGCCTGACATGAGCGTGATGCCTTGCCCTTGCAGGGCCGTGACGGGGTGCCACAGGAAGCCCGCCTCCACTCTGCCCTCCTCAGACAGGAGATTGTCCTCCTTCTTCCCCTCTGCAGGTGTGGACAGTGAGGATGATCATGGCCGTGGGGATCTAGGGCGCCTCAAGAAGCAGAAGGACCACCACAACCCTCACCTCATCCTCATGATGATTCCCCCGCACCGGCTGGACAACCCAGGCCAGGGCGGGCAGAGGAAGAAGCGGGCCCTGGACACCAATTACTGCTTCCGGTGAGCTTGGGCCCACTCACGACCGTCAACTCCTGAGGCAGCATTTACTGTATGCCTTCAGGGGCTCAGTCCCCAGGCCGAAGCTGTGCCAACTGGGGGGGGGTCCTGGATGCTAGTCACAAACATCTCCAGGAAAGAAGATTTAAAAGCTCTTACCCACGTCTTCCTGTTTTTCTGGAAGCCCCCATTTTTCCACAGCCCAGCTCTGTGAGGGCCTGGCTGAAGCAAATGAGGAGGAGAGTGTTGCTAAGACAGTTTGGATCGCAGAGACTTGGCCGAAGCCTCTCTGTAGTTATTGTGTTTTGTAAAGTACTTCTACGGTGTGTTTTTGTGTGGGGCAGATGAATGCAGAACTTCCTTTGTTTTTTGTGTATTTGAATTCTAGTTGGTTAACATATAGTGTCATACTGGTTTCCGTAGAATTTAGTGATTCATCACTTCCATACGACACCCAGTGCTCATCATACAAGTGCTCTCCTTAATGCCCATCCCCCATCTAGCCCATCCCCCACCTGCCTCCCTCCAGCAACCCTCAGTTTGTTCTCTATCGTGAAGAGTCTCTCATGATTGGCTTCCCTCTCTCTCCCTTTTTCCCTTCCTTCCCATATGTTCATCTGTTTTGTTTCCTGAATTCCACATATGAGTGACATCATATGGTGTCTTTCTCTGACTATTTCCCTTAGCCTAATACTCTCTAGCTCCAACCATGTCATTGTAAGTGGCAAGCTTTCATTCCTTTTGATGGCTGAGTAATATTCCATTGTATAGATACACCACATCTTCTCTAGACGTTCATCTGTCGATGGGCACTTGGGCTCTCTCCACAGTTTGGCTGTTGTTGATAATGCTGCTGTAAACATCAAGGTGCACGTGCCCCTTCAAATCTGTATTTTGTATCCTTCGGATAAATACCTAGTTGTACCATTGCGGGGTCGTAGGGTAATTCTATTTTTAACTTTCTGAGGAACCTCCATACTGTTTTCCAGAGGGGCTGCACCAGTTGAATGCAGGGCTTCCCATGAAAGAAGTGCTCAGGTCCCTGTGAACTGTCCAAGGATGCTCCTGGGTGAGGGGAAATAGGGCAGTCTCCACGTGCCAGGGGGATTCGAGCTGGAGAGAGTAAGGAACTAATTTGGAAGAGGTAGGTAGCCACTGTGAAGAGAGAAAAAGAAAGAGCCTCTTCTCTTATTTAGTTTAGTTCCTCATTTATGAGAGGGCAGGGATGATAAAGCACACACAGCAGTCACTTAAAGGTAGAAAATGACCACATCTACGAGAAGGTCCGAAGGATAGAGTGCTTTAAGAATCTGGAGCAACAAGTTCATCTGTGGATGCAGGGAAGGCTTCAGAAGGGTGCAGATGAGTGAGGTTTGGGCATGTAGGGATGAGGCGGGAGGAAGGAAGGAACACGAATGGGTCAGTTTGGCTGGAGAAGGGGATGCCTGAACGGAGCTGGGGAGAATGAATTAGGAAATTTTTAGACCTAAAACCATGTCTTATAAGGAGCAACTGAGTGCACTGGGGAGGTCGAGCTTGAAGGTGTAGTAGAGGTAATGTAGTTGGCCGCCAACTGTCGGAAGGCTGGCCTGTAGGCTCGTTCTGCATGGCTCATAATCAGTTAGGAATGGATGCTCTTGGCCGCAGGGAACAGTGGCCTAAACCACAGAGGGTTTCTTGTTCACAAGAAGCCTGTAGCAGCAGGCTCAGGGTTGGTCTGGCTGCCTAATCATGCCATTGGGAATACAGGCTCTCTCTCCGCAGTCTGCCACGCTTAGTACGTTGGCTTGCTTTTCATCTTCTTGCTTAGGGTCAACGGTGACAGCTAACGCTCCAGGTAGCCTGTGTTCATGACAAGAAGGAGGGGGATGAGGCAGAGCTGGTGGCTTTCCTCTTCCATCTGTGACTTCTATAAAGAATCAACTGTTTTTGCCAGAATTTGCCCTTACCCCCTGCATACTTCTCCTTATGTCTGATTGGTCATCGCTGGCTTACATGACCACCCCTCCCTGCAAGAGAGGCCAGGAAAATGAGTATCTGGTGGTCTAGACTTTGTAATGGGAGGTGGCAAGGGAGAAGGGAGGTAGGAATGGCTTTTGAATAGACAGATAACCGGAATGTTTGCCATGGTTCACCCATGGAACCTACAAGAAGACAGAAGATTTTGGAAGTAGTAAGTTCTAGGTCACAGCAGACATTGACGTACAGGCTAGATGCCCACTTGGCAAAGGTTATTGCCAAATGGATTTCTGCAGGGAACAGAATTGAAATGGCCTGATGATCACACTTGGGGTGAGTCACGGGTCTAACAGAAGGATACGCTTCGTTTTGATTCGACGGCCTCTAGATTTGGTCTAAGCAGTCTACTGTAGAATGTAAGCTGCATGAGCTTAGAGTTCATGTCTCGCTGCGTGCTCATTAGGAAGGTAACAATAAAACCACCCTCAACAAAGCTGAGCTGGCTAAGAACATTCAGTGCTTGGTTTTATGTGAAGCAATTTATGTCTCTGCTTTGATCTACGATATAAAAGGGGGCAGGACCACCTTTGCCTTTTTTCTCCTCCTTATGCGTCATCTGTATCTGCCTATTATGTTCTTGGGATCATGGTCTTCAACACAAGAAGATGCTTTTATGGTACATACTGCTCAATGCACTGGAACCTAGGATTCCATTGATTAGGGCCACCTCTTAGGATGACCAGGAAGGACTCCAGGTACAAATATGAGGGCCGTTGGTGAAGTTTTTCATATTGGTGGTTTCCTTCAGGTTGGTGGTCTATAAGTGTTTTTTTGTTGTAGCAATTTGGAGGAGAACTGCTGTGTGCGCCCTCTCTACATTGACTTCCGACAAGATCTGGGCTGGAAATGGGTCCATGAACCTAAGGGCTACTACGCCAACTTCTGCTCCGGCCCTTGCCCCTACCTCCGCAGCGCGGACACAACCCACAGCACGGTATGGAGCGGCGCTCACGCCATGTGGGACACATTCACACGAATGCATGAGGACTGAATGGTGAATGAGCGAATGATGATCCGGTGCGAGTAAAATCCCTTTGCTGAAGGTTCTGATCTTGGCACCCTGGCCCGACTCTACTTTGCCACATTCTGCCCTTTAAAATTTCCTCCACGGTTTCAACCAGCCTTTTTATTTGTTCTGTCTAAAGCTTTTGTGCCATTCTGGAAATTAACTCACTGTCCCAGCACACCCTATAGGTCAGAGATGTGTGCACACAGCTAGCAAGGGATGTTGGGGCAGAAAGGCTTCTGCCATTGGCGGAAGGACTCTGGGAATTCCAGCCTCTTGGATATAGAAAAGACATTCTGAAAGACCATGCAAAGCACACAGAAGCAGCTAATACGAAACAATGGGAAGAGAAGGGGAGCGGCGGGGGGGGGGGGGGGGGGGAGTCAGGCCTCTGAAACTCGCTTGCCTTTCTTTCCCTCAAGGGGACTCAGAAATAGGGCAGCCATTTGTGAAACATGGCTCCTGATAGCTCACCCTTAACTGCCTGCTGTCTGGGGCCGCACACTCTGGCGCTTACTAAATGGCCCAAAGCAGCGTTCAGTGGGATCAGTTCTCACCGAAGCGACCAGTTAGAGCTAGCAAAACCAGTAGAGGAGTGTTTCTTAACAGCAGAGAATATTTCATGATCTGTTTAAAGTTGCCCATTAGTTGTTCTCAGCTTACCCTGATAATGCTCGCTCGAGTACGGGTGTTTACCCAAACCGAGAGAGCAGCCCCCAGAACATGCGAGAGGGCTCTGGGCCTGAGGCTTGGCCTGCCGTCCTCTAAGTGACCTGTCCTCCCCAGGTGCTGGGACTGTACAACACTCTGAATCCTGAAGCCTCTGCCTCACCTTGCTGTGTGCCCCAGGACTTGGAGCCCCTGACCATCCTGTACTATGTTGGGAGGACCCCCAAGGTGGAACAGCTGTCTAACATGGTGGTCAAGTCCTGTAAGTGTAGCTGAGACCCTGCCTGCGACAGAGAGAGAGGACAGAGGACTGCCACCGCCTGACCGCCTGCTCCTCGGGAAACACAAAGGCAACAGACCTCACCTAGAGGCCTGGAGCCCCCAACCTTCGGCTCCAGGCAGATGGCTGAGACGGAAGTTCCCTTTTGGGACATTTCTCCTTCGTGCTGGCTCTGAGAATCACTGTGGTACAGAAAGTGTGGGTTTGGTTAGGGGAAGGCCCAATTCTTCAGAACACACAGATCTTCTGTGACGTAGTTGGAGGTGGTGGGGACAGAGGAAGAGGGGTAGCAAGCCGACACGGGACGCATCACGCGGCAATGGACCTGCGGTACCCTAGGGAGGAGGAAGGGCAGAGAACGGCCGGGACAGCGCCAGGCCAGAAGACACTTCTGAGGTCAGATGTGCTCAGCGCTGCCCCACGCCTGCTCTAGGGAATCGGGATTACATTATACAAGGCAAGCATTTTCCTTCAGACAGGTTGCCTAGACAAAGTCCCAGAATTGTATCTCCTACTACCTGGATTAAGGACGAATCTGTTATTTTGGCAAATTGTCCTCTCAACATCAGTCAACAGCACCAAGGGTCATTACAGGGAGAAAAATCCAGGGAAGGTAGTTCCCGGGCCGTCAACTCTATGGGGCCATCTGGATACGCTGAACTCAGAAGCAGAGGGTGGGAATGAACACTCTCCTGTCTGCCCTCTGGGTCCCTCCTCTCGCCTTCTTCCTCAATCGTATTTCCCCTCGGACATCTGGCTAGACACCTTCCAGGTCCGGGCGCACATATTTGGATTTGGGGTCTGTGCAGTCTTGGGGCATTAGGGATCCCCTCACCCCAGACCCTGTGTCCATCTGGTGTTCCTGGAAGCAGGTGCTAGAACAGGGTGAGGCGTGCGGGGAGGTCGCACATGCGCCACACGATGACTTGGCCCCAGACACGTAGACTGAGCTATAAAGACAAATACAAATATTACTCTCAAAATCTTTGTATGAATAAATATTTTTGGGGAATATTGGATCATTTCATCTTCTGGAAGATTGTCTCTAGAACAGTAAAAGCCTATTCTAAGGTGTAAGTCTGACTGGATAAATATCCTTGATTACTCTTTTCTTAATCCCACGTTCATGTCTACTAACCAGAGGTCACTGGTACCTGGGGCAGAGTCTCGAACAGCGAATGTATTGCTTAGTGTGAGTACCCTGGACAGTGGGACGCTGTCCTGCCTTCTGCCATTTGAGAAGACTGAACTGTTTGTGTTCCCTTCCTTCTTGTGGAGTGTTTTGTTCTCAGACACACAGAGGCAGTGGCTCAGATTTGCAGAAAGTTGTATGAATTTGCCCTACATTTAACTGTGGGCAAAAATCATTTGGGGTGAACCCTTGCCTGTGGAAATGTGTTTGTTTGTACATGCCCTCTAAGTTACGAACATCATCATTTTTGAAAATTTAATCTCACCCTCCCAATCAGTTGAGAATTAGAGAAACTGTCTGTGGTAAATGGCCGAAGAAGATGAGGCTAATTCTGTTATCGGGGTAAACTTGCCAGGAACCCCTTTGTCAGTGATTTGGGGATGGGAGAGGGCGAGGAAGTACAATCCCATAGTTCTTGTCTGCGGGCACAGATCCCAGAGCAATGCAGAATTCTGTGATATTAATGTCCACCTGAAGCAACCATCTGCAATGCATGAGGAACCATTTGGCAGCTCCCCAAAAAACACGTTCCTCTATTGAGATCACCTTACGGTTGGTGAAAAAGTCTATCTGAAGCTAAAATTTGCAGGTTGAAGTGTGTGTGTGTGTGTGTGTGTGTGTGTGTGTGTGTGTGTGTGTGTGCGTGCGCGCGCGTGCGCTTGCTCCTTCTGGAATTCTCCCGAATTGAATTCCTGAGTTTGGTCAAGACTTTCTTTCCTGCTTTGTCCATGCCCAGCCAATTCTAAGAGCTTCTCTCTCAGGCTTCATCCCCTGTGGCACCCATTTACTTCCAATGTACTTGCGGGGCTGTATCCCTGCCCTAAAATCATGGCTGCTGGGACTGTGGCCCATCTTACCCAAGGGACTAGCGGGCCCAGAGAGGGGATGCAGTGTGCCCAGCCCTTTGGCCATGGGCCAGTGCTATCCTAAGCTGCAGAGTCTCTTCACTTGTGGCAGCTATTCTCAAGTTTCAGTGGGCACGAGAAACACCCAAGTGTTTATCTGAACATAAAAAAAATAAAAAGCGATTTTAAAAAATGTACAATTTCAGGCTATAGCTCTAGAGATATCTTCAGGCCTGGGGAAGGTCCAGGCTGCCGAAAAGCTACATTTTGAGCAGCAGTGTCTTCTATCTGACATCACTGGGTCCTTCCTCAAGGCTTAGTTAGGAAAGAAGGGAATAATCTTTTTGACCCCAGAATAAACCTTCCTTCTTCTCCAACCTCATAGGACATCACTAAAACGTTGGCCTGTGGCTCATCCTAATGAAGCAAGGCAATGAGTTATGTTTCCTGAAGTATCCCAAAAAAAACAGAACACACTGTGATTCCAAATGTCCTTTTTATATGAGAGCTCTATTCTTATCTTTATCAGCAGATACAGATATGGGCGGGGGTCTGAAGTCCAGCCTTTCCATTCCACGTGTCACTTAGAGGTGCTACAGAAACTTGAGCCATTGTCTGTCTGTCTGAAAAGATACACACTTGTTTTGGGGGAGGGGAGGGAGGGATATTGGAAATGACACCGTTGCTGGAGGGGGGAATCATATGATCGGTCTTGTTTATTACCAAGAGAAGTCCAGTACCAGTAAAAATGACATGAAAGTACTTGGTTAAATGAAGGCGAGATCTGGAGTCTGGTCTTAACAGCCGGTAAGCACGTGGGGAGCGCAGTGAGAAATGAGCCTGAGGACCCAATTCTAATGGTTACCTAGGCCAATTCCAAGCAGTCTAGTTGGTCTCAAAGTTCTTTTCCTGGGCTCATAACCTCTTGTCCTTCCTCACATGATTCTTTAGGCGGCGTCTCCCATATACCTTCTTTCCTGGTTCTACCCATCACCAGGGAAATCATGAAGGAATTCTGATTTGTCTCCTAACCAATTCACAACCAAGTTAGCCAACAGTTAAGATGGTCCTCAAACTACTAACCAGAAGTCCCAGGAACATCACGAATACAATCTCTCCCCTCCCTCAAGGGACAGTTTTCATTCCTCACAAGCAAACAAAATGCTTCCGTGTGCTCAAACCTGTTTGCATTCACTAAGAAGTCAATAAAGTCCCTTTTCTCTCTGCCTTGTTGGGTGTCATTTTTCCTTTGGGGTTTCAATGCTGAGTCTAGAGTACCCTGCTGTAGAAAAACCCAGACTCTGGATCCTCCCCCAGTAAATCCCCAGGGTAGCTGTCAGTCCTTCAGTCAGGCTCTGCAGCCCACCTTTCAACCTTTTCTTCAGTAGAAGCCAGAGAGGGGACCAGGGAAAGGTGAGGAGAGGGGGCAGAGGTCAAGTGGACAGCCATCTAGGGGGGCTGTGCCACCTCATTCTGATGAGGACCCCTAGACGACCTGTCCATGGCGGGTCGATAATGGAGACTGTGCACATATGAGCTTCCCAGGTTCAGGAGCTGCCTATGGGGAAGAGCCTGGACCCACGATCTGCTGAAACCAAACGGAAGAATAAAACATCTCTTTATAGTTCACATTTCTAAAATGTAGTTTAAAAAATTGCCCAGCAATGAAAGAAAACGGGAAGTTGGTCCCACTTCAGGCTTGTTTGTGAATACTGATTGTTGGGAAATTAGTAAATGGAAAAAAAGAAAATAAAAATAGAATTACTTTATTAATTTTAGAAATCAGTAATTCCAAAGGATGCCTTTACCACGGCTCATGTGGTCAGCAGCACACCGACTTTGTTCCACTCTCTGGGAAGCTTGTGATGTATGCTTCCCCCTTCCCCCGACCCCTCGGAAAAGGGAAGAACAACTTTGGTAGATGACGTTGGGATTTTAGGCTTGTGGGAAGTAAAGCTTAATATTGCAATCTGGAAAAGAAGAGGAAGCGAAATGCAAATAGCCAAAGAGCCTCTTTTATATCATCTCTGTGTGGTAGCAGGAAAGGGACAGAGGAAGCCTAAGCCGGTTTGCTGGGGGCGGGGGGGGGGAGGTAAAAGGGATAAAAGATACATGTGTGCTCTGATGGGGTATATAACGTATCAGTTGAATGTCCCCACTACCAAGTTCAGTCAAAACCCAGCGGATGTGTTTTCCCGTCCTCTCAGTAAAAATCTGGATTGGCTGATTGGCAACAATCTACTGCCACTGTTGCTTGAAGGCTCCGGGGACTGAGGCAGCAAAAAAAAAAAAAAAAAAAAAAAAAAAAAAATACCGCGGACCCCTTGCAGCGCTGGTGGATGCTTCGGCCC